GTCACAGCAGATGACATTAAAGTAGATCAAAAATCTTCATTCCTGATGTGAAAAATAAAACACAGTTCCTCTGAGTGGCGATGGTTTAGGACATTAAGTGCGTTTATTACCTGCAGCAGGAGGTATTAGGCTACACCCCTGAGAGGATTTCACACACCTCAAGGAGTCAGTGTGGGTTTAGGCGCTTAGAGCGTTAAACCTGCAGGCAGGAGGTGATGGGAGTCAATCTAGTGTGGGAGATTTGTGCTTCTCTTGGTCCTGCGTTGGTGTAAATTTATTGCATTTACAGGTTTTTCATTCTCTGAATTTATTTAAGGTTTATTTTGACAGTTTGAACAATTATTTATTTAAACACCTTCATACTTGGTGATTTAAAGTTGCTGAATGATGCAGAAAGAATCTCTGATGTTAATATCTGTTTGCTCCTTTAGACCGATGGGAGACAGCGATGACGATTTGGATCGGAGGAGGCGGGACAAGTTCAGGCGGGAACGCAGCGACATGGAAAGGTCACGAGAGCGCGAGGAGAGGAGGAGAGACGACTGGCCCGACAGGTGGGAGCTGGTGACTATTCCGATCGTTAAGTTATTCGTTTTTAATCCGGAGAGAAAGATCAGTCGAGCCGACGCATCTGACAGTCAGAGTTCAGCCTAAACCTACAGAGGCTCATTTACTGCATCAAACTGCTGCAGAGCTGCTGTCACAGAGAGGCAGCTGCTGCCATCTAGTGGCCTAGATGTAGTAGTGCAGTGATGTGGTCCTTTGTTTAACATTGAAAAGTTTCCCACACAGCTGTATTCTTCATGCATGCCGTACTTATCCCTAATCACATCTGACACATTTGTTTCAGAGTTCATACAGTTTGTTATCCAGCTGTAAACATCTGTCCTAACATCAGCGTATGAATGAGACATGTTATTGGAAACTGAGTCGTCAGGATTTATTATGGCTGAAGAAAGTCGCCCACTTCATCCCGACAGGTTTGTCCACTGTGTGATGTCAGCTCTCTGTTTGTTTCAGGGACTGGGACCGTGGCCGCGAGCGGAGGCGGGACTATGACCGCGGCCGCAGAGAGAGGTTTTCTCCGCCCAGACACATCAGCCCTCAGCACAAACGCATGAGGAGAGAATGGTGAGGCCTGTGTGCGAGAAGCAGCTGCAGACTTCAGGTTCTCCTCCGTGTTCCTGCTGTGATTAATAATTCTCGTTTCACCCTCAGGGACGACCACAGGGGGGAGCCGTACCGCTACGACCTGCCATACGGAGGCGGCGGGGCTCCATTTCCAGGGGCGGGGCCTCAGGGCTGGCACCCAGATTTTCCTCACCTTCACCCACATCATGGAGG